ATCAAAGTGACACAAATTCCAAACTATAGAGGCTATTAGTGTAATTAACCCTATATATATATCCCTATCTTTTCTCATATAGTTAAGACTTCACTTTTCATCTCTCGTTGAGGGGTTGGATCAAATCCTGCTTTGATTGTTTGACATTGGGTTGATTATTAGAATTTGGTGGGCTTACCGACCAACACTAGCCGAGCTTCAACAAGACGTTAACGCGTATGAGTTTACTCAAGCTCGGTCCAAATTGATAAATTAAATTCAAATTAGTCTGAATTATTCATAAATTTGAATTAAACTTGGTCCAAATTGATAAATTTAATTCAAGCTAAATCTGAATTATCTATAAATTTGAATGGGGAAATTACAAATACATGGAGTAGTGGGAAAAAAATTATACTACAACTAATTTTTTTTTTTTTTACACAAAGGAAGAGTTGCATCAAGTACATAAATGAATTTGCACCATCATAAAAATATAACTTTTTTTTATCACTGCTTCACTAAAATACAATTTTCCTAATTTGAATTTAGCACTGATAAAGGTTGTGTCATATTTACAATTTTTTTATTATTTTTTATTATTTTTATTTTTTTGGGAAGGTAAAATCAACGTCAAAACAAATAATATCCAGTAATAACATAACAAATAATTTGTTACCAAATGACCTAACAATGACAAATATTACTATAGCAATACACAAAATGACAGAATATAAACTTAGAGCAGAGAGTAACGATAGAGTCGAAAGCACTGCACGATGAATGAGAAAGAAGAGATTAAGAGCTTGTTTGAGAACATGTCAAATTAGTTAAAAAAATCAATTCATTTTTTTTTTACCTCAATTAGTAAAAAAGTCAAAAAATTACTGAAAAAGTCAATTCTAAAATCAACTCAGATGTAAGTGAGATACGAGAAATATATTTAAGTTATTCTAGTATACAATTGACATTTGTGGTATTGATTATTACAAATATTATAATTAAATCTTTTTCAAGCATAACTATAGAAAAAATTAATCAATCATAATCAAATACCGCATAGTATATAACCAATGACCTTTTCGAATATAATTAAAATAATAATTACAATAAATCATAACTAACATTACAATTAGTCATAACTAAGACATAATTAACATCACAATAAATAAAAACAAATCCAAACGTGATAACTGAGACCTATGATACACACCCTCATTTAAGACATATGGTTCACATCCTTATAACTAAACGTAAATGAGGGGTGTATTATTAAATTTCCCTTTTTAAGTTAATCTAACGATTTAAATAATCTTTAGTGTAAATCCAACAACTGTATTATATTAAATAGCATATTGTATATTTACATATAAGGGTTTTGGTTTACTATTTATATTTATCCACGCCAAGGTCAAATTCAATTCGGATTTCTAAATTATTATCCAAACTGGCACTTGAGTTCAAAAATATGTAAGCAAACCCTAAATTTGGACTATACTCTAATTTCTCATATTTCCTCCCAACCCCACCCCAAGTTACACCCATAATCATATTAGAGTTACAAACGAGCCGAATTGTAGAGTGTTAAAGCTTGGCTTGTTTAAAATTAGTCGACTCAGGTTAAAGCATGAGTAGTGTTCTTGTCGAGCTTAACAAATTGAGCTCAAGCTAGAAAGAAAAAAAATTAAATTTCATCACTTAATAAGTAAATTTATACAAATACCAAATATAAATAGAAAAATAACATAAATTAATATAAATTACTAAAAATAAATATTAATTTATGTTATTTGTATTTATACGTTTTAAGGGCACTTATTAATCAGTCATATTGACTAAACTTATTTATGTACAGGTTCTAATTGGTAAATTTATTACTATAAATTTATTCATAAAAATAAAAGAGACTGATAAATTTATTACTTAATAAATTTCCAAAATAGAACCTATTGATAATTTACCTTACATTTTATTAGCTGAGCTGAGCTTAGGTCTATTCGACTCGGGCTCAATAATTTAACACAAATGAATTTTAGACCAGCCATGCATGCTTTGTTTGTAGCCCTAAATCCATCCCGTGACAGGCGGGAATGGCGACTCTGACTCGGAGCCATCAAAGTGTGCAAAGAAAGCACGCAAGTGATATCAACATTTCATGCCAACCAGCTTCAATCTTACCCAATTGAGTGATGAATGACATGCAATACTAAAGGAGCAATTTGCTAGGAGCGTTCTCCGTGTTGTAAATAAATATTATTTTCATTTTTGCTTGAAAATTTGTTAATTCTGAGAAATTTTGTTTAATAGCAATACATATTTTTAAGATGAGATTCTCTCCAATTTATTTTGACATTTGTCGTCTAGTGTAGTTCAAGCCTACGTGCCCATCAAGTGTTTTATTTTGTTAATCAACTTGGCTCGTCTTGGATACTCGTGTCTAAGGGTTCGTTTGGCAAGCAAAATTGGGGTTAAAATAGTCACAAAAGACAAAATAGGCTATTTTAGCCACAACAAACAAAACATCACATTCAACCCATAATCATTATACTCTTCTCTCACAAAAAAAGTCAAAAAAGTCAAAAAGTCAAAAAACTCTTCCCAAACCAAGCTTTTTAGCCTAGGCTAAAATAGTCAAAAAAGTCAAAAAGCCAAAAAGTCAACCCACTTCCCAAACGGAGGCTAAATGTTAGTGACAGGGAAAAGAGATTGTGACCGCAAACAAATAAGAGAGACACACAGAAAGGGAAACGATAGTGAGGATTTTATGTATTTTTTGGGTCTTTTATGGATATTATTATTATTTTGAAATCATCAATTGTTAAAACAGTAGAGGTAAGTGCCCACAAATTATATCCAATTGCCCTGTCATTAGGAGATTGTAGGGGAAATAAATTGTATAGGTGAATCATTTTTCACTTCAAATTTTATCTAGAAACTTGTGTTTGGTTTCACAATTTACCAATAATACTAGGTAGCTTAAAATTTTGTGGTTCAAATGGCTCAAATCACTCAAAACGACGTCGTTTTGAGTGTAAATGAGTGTAAAACGACCTCGTTTTGACAGATTTGAGCCATTTGAGCCACAAAATTTTGAGCTACCAAACATTTTTCTTTTCAAAAATTGTTTTCAAGTTTTCAAATTTTTTTTTTTTTGGTTTTATATTAATCAATTTTTTTTACTTTATTCACTTAATCTAAATATATTTAAAAAGTAAAAATGTTATCAATTTTTTTTTTAAAATTCACTAAATACAAAAAAAAAATCAATAAATTTTATTTTTTTAATTTATTCACAAATATTTTATTTTTAAATATATTTAGATTAGGTGTATCTAAAAAAATTACTAAAATATGAAAAAAGTTTATTAAAGACAACAAAACACAACCCAAGGAGTTGGCCTAGTTAGTGCAGTTTGGGGCATGGGAGTGTGCTCTCTCCATGTCTCATGTTCATCTTCTATTAGGTGTTATCAACTATTTGGAGCCACTCCTGCAGACTCTGCCTAAAATTTGCTTGATCCACGTGGAGGGAGTGATTTGCGTGGATCTTGAAATTAGTTGAGATATGCGTAAGTTGGCCCAAACTCTCGATTATCTAAAATATTTATATATATATATATTACACAACTAATAAGCCAAATGCCAGGTTGGGTCATCGTCAACTAGTTGTAAATAAAACAAAAATATTATTTTTATCCAAAAGTCTAGTGATTTTTAGATACAAAAATGCTTTTTTTAAAAAAATATATATTCTTGCTCAATAATACTACATCTCCCTAATTTATTATTCTAAAATGATTCTTAATGATTTGACATTGAAATTAGACCTCACGTAATAAAATATTTAATAAATTAAAATTTTATACTTTGTTAAATATATTATTAAGAGTGATTGTTAAAGATAATAAATTAAATATTTCAAGTACTTTTCAGTTTTTGCCTTACTATTATTACTTTTTGGTGTATTAAACCAACCCCCCCAAAAAAAAAAATAAAAATAAAAATAAAAATTCGTGAGCACCCAAAATTGACCAAAACGTGAAACCAGCTAAGCAAATGCATAAACAACAATCCAATCAAAAGAACATAAAACAACAGCACAACTCTTTTTTTTTTTTTTTTTTGTCTCTCTCTCTCTCTCATTATAAACATGTATAGAAACAGAGCATCTTCTCAACAAAACCGCCCACCACACTCACCCACCAATTGGACCACACCACCCCCAATTTGCCCCACCAACTAAACCACACATCACCCCCACGCGTCCTCCTCACCCCGCCCCCCCTCAAATTACTACACATTTGCCGTAGATTCTCTCTCGTGATTATTTGATCCTCTTGCAACATTATTTTACAGCATTTATTAATTGATATTTATCAATTTATTTTTTAAAAATTCAACGAATAATATGAATTCATATGTTTCGATTAATCAATATCAAATTAGAATGGTGTATGATATTAACCAAGAGTAAAAAAAAATATTTTCTCCTCTTTCTTTTCATTTGCGAAAGAAATAAGGACAAATTACAAAGATAGTCCTTACATTTTATTAGTTATGTTATTTTGGTATTTACATTTTTTATTAACTTAATTTTAACTATTAATTTTATATTTTACCTCAATTTGATTCAATTGACAATATTGTTAAAATTTTTGACAAAAAATTATCAATAAATTGAATGAGATTAAATCACCGAATTAATTAAATTTATAATTTTATTACTAAAAATATGACACATATTAGTTATGCGCACATTTTTTTGTTTTATAAAAGATTACTAACAATTAGAATATATTTGACCAATTTGAAATCAAGTAAAAAAATTTAGAATTAAAATTAAATTAATACAAAAATTAAAATGTAGCGGTATATTTGTCAAAAAAAGAGAGAGGCCTCTTTTTTTGACTCTCTCTCTTGAACCTCATTTTTGGCTCCACTCCACCCTCCAGCCTGTCTCCCCGATATTTCGTCCTCATTATTCCCCCATTATTATTTTATATTCGTCATTTCTCTAGTTTATGATTCTTCTTCTTGGTCCTTTCCTTTCCTCCCCCCTCTCTCCTCTCATAAATGCATATTATAGATTCCTCCTCCTTCCTCTTCTCCTCATCATCGTCTCCAGTTGTTCCACAAAAAATAATAATATCTCCATATCCATCACCCTAAAACACTTCAAATCTATATTTCTCTTTCTAAACCTTCCTTTTTTGTTTGAATTTGCTCCAATATTTCCCAAATTTTGTTTTGTAGCTATGGCGGAGGAACACGGGTTTCAGTCGCCGGAGGGCCACCGCCTCTGCGCCAACAACTGCGGCTTCTTCGGCGTCCCCACCACCCTCAATCTCTGTTCCAAATGTTACCGAGACCATTGCATCAAAGAAGATCAAGCCAAGTCAGCCAAATCAGCGGTCGAGAATTCTCTCTTCCTTCCTTCCTCCTCCGCCGCTGCGCTGGCTCCGGCGGTGGTTCTGTCTGTGATTTCATCTCCGGCTGTTTCTGCGGAGGAAGAGGGAGGAGGAGGGAGGGTTCCAACGGCGGCGGGGCCGAACAGGTGTTCGGTGTGCAGGAAACGGGTCGGGTTGACCGGGTTTAACTGTCGGTGCGGAACCACGTTTTGTGGGGCCCACCGGTACCCGGAGAGGCACGGGTGCACGTTCGATTACAAGGCGGTGGGGAGAGAGGCGATTGCGAGGGATAATCCTGTGGTCAAGGCTGAGAAGTTGGAGAAGATTTAATCAGGGTCGTTGGTTTTGATGACCTTTGTGGTCGGATGAAAATTTGTCGATTTGGTGACCGTTGGATCTGATGAATGCTTTGGTTTGATAGGGATGAATGAAGATGATCAACGGATCCGAGCTTCTCTGGAATTTGTTATATATTTTTCTTTTTTTCTTTTTTCTTTTTTCTTTTATGTGAGCTTGATTGTAAAAAGGGTTTTTACTTTTTTTATTTTTATTTTTATTAGTGGTGATGATAATAGTATATTATTGTGGATCCTATTGCATAAGTATATTCGTTGGAACCATTCCTATTACTGGTGGTCATTCATGAGCTAGGGTACATTCATAATATGTTAATTTTAATTTTTATATTATTTAATTATACATTATAAGTAAAAATAAAAATAATAAATATATCTATTTTCATGGCATAAATTCAAATATTTATAAAAATGTCTAAATCAATTTTATTATTAGATTTTTTTATTAATTACCTAAATTCAAATACTCATTAAAATGGCCCAATTTATTTAATAGACATTTAAATTTACAGAAACAAAAAAATCAACAATGTTATATAGCTCAAAATTTTGTACCTCAAATCACTCAAAACGACATCATTTTGACAAATTTTGAGTGTAAAATAACGTTGTTTTGATAGATTTGAGCCATAAAATTTTGAACTGACAAACATTTTTCCAAAAAAATACTCTATATGTTGAGTTTAAGTTGACAAACTTTAAATTTTTAATCACCTTCTTTGGTTTTCAATTTATAAAAACAATTTGCTGAGTTTTCAGATCGTATTTTTATATTTTAAAATATTTTAATTAATTATTTAATTTTTAAAATCACTTAATCTTAATATATTTAAAGAGTAGAAAAATTTATACAAAATCTTTAAAAATTTTATTGAATACGATAAAATACGAAAATATTTTGTATTTGTGAATATACTTTACTTTTGTTGAACTTTTTTAATTTTTTTTTTACATATGTTATACTTTTTATGAGTATTTATATTGGGTGTATCTAAAAAATTAAAAAAAAATTATGTAAAATATTTTAAAAATTAACTAAAAACAAAAAAAAAATATGTAAACTAAAAATTTTAATTTTTAAAAAAACGGATTCATTTTTTTAAAATTAAACATGGTGAATAGTTTTTTAAGATAAAAAAATTCAATAATTTTTTAAAGTCAAATTTAGGACAGCTCGGATACCCGCTATATCATATAAGACATATTCAAAATGAGGTATATATTCTTATTATAATGCAAGGTTCATAAACTCTATTCATGTCATCTGCGAACATTGGGGTTGTTTGCTACCTTTTTGTGAGTGGATTATAATTTATTTGAATTGAATAATTTGTATTAAATTATTTGATATAATTTTTTTATAATTAATTAGATAAAAATAGTTTAAATTTTAACAAAAAATACTTAAAAATTAGAAAAATGATATTTTTAACTTCGGTTTTTTATTATTAATTTTTAATTTAATTTTTCTTTTTACCAAACAGTACTATTGTGCATTGTGTTGTGTGACTATCACTACATGTCATGTGATGTCAAATAAGGTGGACTATTGAAAAAAGATTAGAATATTGGACTGGATCGTGCTGTTGGGTCCGTGGGGGCCTATCACGGGTCCCGTTTTGATAATTTCAACCGTTGAATGTATAAAAATCGTCGAGTACTATATGCCTATAAAAAATCACATTAATCGGATATCGATAGCTATATGATCAAATCAGTTTCGTATTAAAAAAAATTGAACGGTGAACAAATTAACGATTGACAAAAAAACTGTTTTGATCACATAGCTATCGATATCCGATCAACGTGATTTTTTATAAATATATAGTACTCGACGATTTCTATACATTGAACGGTTCAGATTATTAAAACGAGACCCGTGATAGGCCTCCATAAATCTAACAATACGGTCCAATCCGAACCCGAACTAGACAGAAGCCATACCCATCTCAAATTGGCCAAGTCAAATCCAATTCGTAGTGAGTTAATTAGATTCTCTCCCATCTATTATGTAGGTTAGATATTGTTGTTCGGGCATTATATTCATCCTAATCTTCTTTTCAGATAGTGTCGCTCGGGTTCATCCTAATCTTCCCATTTTAATGATGTCATTCATTAATCTTTTAATGTCAAATGCAGATTATTTATTAAAAAATGAATAAATTACATTTGTTTATAATTATAGCTTGATTTAAATTTTATTTTGATTCCTATTATTTTAGTTTGAACAATTTAACTTTTACATTTTATGTCCAATTTCAATTTAGTCATTTTATTTAAATTTTCATTAAATTTCTTTTTTTGTACATTTTGGGAAATTAACAAATATCTCAAAATAATTAATTTTAACCTCCAACTTGATCGAATGAGTCAACTAGACTTAGGCTTGGTTTGACATGATTTAAAAAAGCTAAAAATTCAAAAAATACTATCTTATTTAAGTCACATCACCTCTTTACTACATCACTTCAAACTCAACCCATATTTCATAAAAAGTTAAAAAGTGAACTTATTGTTTATCGCAAACAACCCCTTAAAATGTAATGATCATATTATTTAATTTAAAATAATAAAAATTAAAATAAAATTTGATTTAAACTATTAAAAATGTAACTTATTCTTTAAAAAATAAGATATAACTACTTGAATACCATCATAAAATAAATAAATAAAATAAAATAAACACAAATGATGATATAAGGAACTGCATAATCAAATTTATGATGTGAGAGAGAGTTGATCAATGCAAATTGAAAAATGCTAACAAACCCATTTATATTTGTGTGGTTGAGATTGAATTTGTATAATATAAAATCTATAAATAAAATTGTTGGAAAAAATGATTTTTTGATGATTTTAATTAAATATTAAAGTGGGTCTCAACCGTCTATTGTGTTGGGTCCAAGTGGGTTTAAATACTTTGCAATGAGATCTTTACACCACAAATAGAATGGTAAAAAACCATTGAGAATTGAATGAGAAATTGTCCCATGAAGTTAGCTTCATGAAAGAGTTAATGGGGTTTGTAACTTTCGCTTTTATTGCAGAGTTTAATAGTGCATTAATGGGGTTTGTAATTTCTGCCTTTATTGCAAAGGTTAATGGTGCATTAGTGACCAGTCATAAAGGCTAGAGGTTGCTTCTTTCTCTCCTATACATGTATAAATTGAGACCCTCCTATCTGTCAAGTCTCAAATATAGAAATTTTTGCTTCCATTTTACAAGTCAGTTTGTGAGAAAGTTCCTACTGTGAGAAAGTGTTGCCAGTGTTTTTGTTCGCTAAGCTAGACAGAAAGTGCTTTTACCGTAGCTGGTTTTTGACCGTTGTATTCTGGGAGACAGACGTCGGGATTCCTCAAGCACTCGACCCGTGAGGCGGCGAAATCTGTTTTAAGGAAACTGCTACTGTGCAGGCTTCGGTTTGGTTTCTTTACTATTTTATTGTTTTGTGTATTTCTGTTAAAATTTAGTTATAATTATCAGCATATGTTCTTGGTATATAATTTTGATTTCTTTATAAATCTATTTATTTAATTTCACAATTTATACAACAAAAATAAATATGAATCACAAAATGATTATTTTAAAATAATTATGTTTGAATTTGTAGTATTCCTTATACTAATTTCCAATCTGTGTGTACATTTCCACCTAGGAAGAAAAAGAAAAGATGTATAACGGGTAGTGGGTTGATGGTCTGTTTCTTCAATGGATATATAACAATTTTACCAGTAATTAAACATAAAGTTGACTAAAACAAACACAAAAAAACATAAAATTAATACTTAAATAATTTTTTTAAAAAAAGTAAAAAACTGTGCCTTCACTTCATTCGATTTGTGGGTTTTCTTCTTGTTGTTGCTTTGAATCTCTCAATCTGGGTTAGTTGGTGCTGTGTCTTAATTTTCTTTTCTGCTATGTTCAACTGTTGGAGAAGAAACAATGAAGCTTTCTCGCAAACCCTCTTCGTCCTGCTACTGGGTCAGGTTGTTTCTTTCACTGTTGCAGTCATGAGCTTCACTTCCTCTCTCTTGTCCAATCTTGGTGACAACCCTTCTCATATTTCATGATTCTACTCTTGTTTCTTTCTTCAGTTCTTGTAAATTTTGATATATCATGGTTGGGTTTGGTTTTAATTTTATGTGTGTGCTTGTAGGGGTTTATATGCCTCTGACTCTATCATTCTTCACTTACTTGAGTGTATCATTGGTTTATGGAAGCATCTTCTTAGTTAGGCGTCAAAAATTAATGGTAATTTTCTTTCTCATCATTCATAATCTTTGTTTTTTGTGTTTTTAATTGGGTTTAATTTAATGGTTTTGGTTGTAATTTGTCTATTGCATTTGTTTTAATTACTTGATGGTATTAGACCATAATTGATTGGAAGCTGATAAAACAATTTGTTTGGGGGCTTTCATGATCTGAGAAATGTTTCGCGCGTTTTTGCAGGTATCTTGGCATTGGTATTTACTCTTTAGGATTTATTGATGTTCAAGGCAATTATCTGGGTATGTAAATTTAATCAGCCTCTGTTTGGGATGAGGCTCTTTCGGTTTTTTTTTTTTTTTTTGGGTTAAAATAGTCATAAAAGATAAAATAAATTATTTTAATCACAACAAATAAAATATCACATCCAACCGATAATCATTACACTATTCTTTTATAAAAAAAATCAAAAAAGTTAAAAAGTCAAAAAATATTTCTTAAATTAAACTTTTTGATTCAGACTAAAAAAAATTAAAAAACCAACTCATTTTCCAAACAAAACCTCAAAATTTTTTTTTTTTTGCGCAGAGAGAGTAGACCCAACAAATTAATAATAATAATAACAATAATAGCAAATTCGGTGTGGGTTGGTGGTTGGTGTGGGATTTTGGTTTTAGGTATGATCCATGACAGCTGTAGAATCTAACTAGCTTTATTGATGATACGGTTGCCGTCTGATTGTGTTGTTTGTTGGAGCAAGATATTTGCAATAATATAATATTTTTATTTATTAATTAATTAAAATAAATACAAAAGAATATTTATATATATGGGTACACATAAATAAATTAATTTAAAATAAAACTTATTAATTTAAGTTATATTTAATATTTATATATATGGGTACACATAAATAAATTAATTTAAAATAAAACTTATTAATTTAAGTTATATTTTTATAGTGTGATATAAGTAAAATTATTACTTTACATTATAAATGCCACAATATATTTTAAAATAATTTTAGGGACCATTTGTTGTATAATTAAAAACTGCAAAGTGTGGGATGGATTTTAT